AAAAAATACTGATTAATGAAAAAAAATAAAGACTATTAGGCAGTTGGGGGAAATACAAAAATTACCCTAAATTCTATTCAATAAATATTAAAACTTTCAGCAAAAAAAAAAAAAGATACCTGCACATGTATGTTTATCGCAGCGTTGTTCACAATAGCAAGAACCTGGAAACAACCATGCTGCCCATCAAAAGAGGACTGGATTAAAAAAATGTGGTACATATACACGATGGAATACTATGCAGCCAGAAAAAAGAACAAAATCATGAATTTCACAGCAACCTGGATGGAGCTAGAGTCTATAATACTGAGTGACCTCTCACAGAAACAAAGATCAGAATATCACATGTTCTCACTCATATAATGGACCTTGAACATCCAATGTAATACTATAAGAAAATGACTGACGGTACTGGGAAACTATGGGGGGGATGGGATTAACAGTAGCAAATATCTGTCTGGGGCTGGGAAAACACCTCTTATCAACAGGGTGTCTGAATGAAACATAATTGTACACCTAACCCTTAACTGTACCCCACAAAACCATAATAAAAAATACTGATTAATTATTAAAAAAAAAAAACTGGCTCAAAGGTTTTCCTTTGTTTTGCTTCAGTGTTCACAGGGCTCCAGTGGCTTCCAGAGAGGCTATTGCTGAAAGCATTTAAAGACACAGGTATTGGCTGCAGCAGCCTAGGGTGAGGGACCACATTTGAGACAAATGACAAACATACCTTGAAGCCTGGGAAAGAAAAGATTGGGATGGGAGGTGAAAGGTGGTACCTATAGAAACGTAGAAAAAACTTAGCTTAGTTTAGTCTTTTTGCCTCAGCATAACCGTTAGAGAGCCCTTCAGACATTCTACTGAAGAACAAGCAGCAGCCTATCCCATTCCCCCTCGACAAATCTCTATCGGATGCAAGCCCAGGACAGCCCAACCTGGTTTAGCATAATAATGTCTGATAAACTTTTAGGTTACTTGTCAAGGTTGAAGATCAACGATCACCCTTTGGCTGGCCAAAGTCCTAAAAGTGATAATACAACCACCTCTGGTCAAGGAATTTGTGAATTGCAAATATCTATCAAGTCTCTTGCAGGAAAAAAACCCCTCTAGGCCCAAACTTCCCAAGTTAACCTAATCAGTCCTTTGTAACACAGATAAACCCCACCATGGCAGCAATCATGTGACGAATCCACCCATCTGCCTGCTGTCCATCACCTGACATCAGTACCTGCCTTGCCTGCCCCTTCTTGATGATGGAGCAGACCACCACCCAATCAACTTATTGATCTTCCCCCATCAAGGGGAATGGTTCAAAGGACTCACCCACAAGCAGCCAACGATCATTGCCTTGCTAGACTCTGGTGTGGCCATGTGCTCTTTGAGGTATGGCTGTTGCCATGCTTCCTGGTTTTGGTCTCCTCCTCCACGTTGGGGAAGTGAATTTTCTCCCTTCTCTTTCTCTCTCTAATTTACTTTTTTTTTTTGAGTTGGAGTCTTACTCAGTTGTCCAGACTGGAGTGCAGTGGCCGCTCCCAGCCACCGCAGCCTCGACCTGCTGGGCTCTGGCGATCCTTCCACCTCAGCCTTTCGAGTAGCCGGAATTACAGGCACGCGCTACCACATCCGGCTAATTTTTTGATTTATTGTAGAGATGAGGTCTCGCCAAGTTGCCCAGGCGGGTCTTGAACCCACGGGTTCAGGCAATTCACTTACCTCTGCCTCCCAAAGCACAGGATTATAGGCTGAGCCACCGAGTCCGGCTACTCTAATTTACTTTTAAATAAACGTTTCTGTCTTTGTCTCTTTGTGTGTTGCAATTCTTTGCATTACTCGGATCTCTGGGTTACCGGCGTCCACCTCTGACCTGTCAGTTCTAACAGTGTTGTGTCTCCCCTCACCCCTCCAACATGCCGCCCTCACCCTACCTGGACCCTAACAGGAGGTATGTTGGGAAGAAGGCTTTTTAAAAGCTCCTATACATACCAGGGAATCAGTAAAGCCACATACATTCCCACGGCAGGACACATGCTTGAAAAGGCCTGAGAAGATCTTAAGCTTTCACTTCTGACTGGTCTTTAGGCTCCACACACGTAAGAAGGGAAAGCTAAGGCAGGTATCAACAGCCTGCCTCAACACAGAGTCAATATGCAGAGCTTTGGAGAGTGTTCTTTTCTTTGGAGAGTGTACTTGTTTTTCTTTCTTTTTTCATTTCTTGGTTCTAGACATTTAAGGTAACTCAAAACATCAAATAGGCCAGTCATGGTGGCTCACACTTGTAATCTCAGTACTTGGGGAGGCCAAAGCAGGAGGATTGCTTGAGCCCAGGAATTCAAGATCAGTCTGGGGAACATATTGAGCCCTTGTCTCCACAAAAAAAAATTTTTTTAATTAGTTGGGTGTGGTGATGCAAGCCTGTAAGTTCTAACTACTAAGAAGGCTGAGGCAGAAGAATCATCTGAGCCCAGGAGGTCAAGACTGTGGGGAGTTGTGATCACATCACTGCATTCCAGCCTGGGTGACAGAGTAAGACTCAAACCTAACAAACAAAAGCAAGCAAAAAAAAAAAAACCCAGTAGCTGAACACTAGGCAAATAGAACACACACTTCAGTGGTCACACACAATGAAAACAGAGACTTCATAAAAGTTTAGAAAGTCACTAAACAAGCAAACAATGACAGCCCACAATAGCTAACAAAGACAAACCTTGGAAAGGGAGAAGAATCTCGTTTCCAGAGCTGCCACATTATAATACTCAAAATGTTCAGACTCAACAACAAAAAAAGGATTAGGCATGCAAAGAAATAAAAAATATATGGTCCATTTACAGGAGGGAAAATTCATAAAAAGTGTCCGTGAAGAAGTCTAGGCATTGGACTTACTAGACAAAGAGTTTATATCTATAATCTTAATGTGCTCATGGAGATCAAGAAAGCCATGGAAAAAGAACTGAAGGAAGTAAAGAGGATAATGTCTCAACAAATAAAGAATGCAAATAAAGAGAAAAATTCTAAAAAGGACCCAAATAAAAATTCTGAAGCCGAAAAACGCAATCACTGAAACGAAAAATTTACTAGAGTTTCAACAGCAGATTTGAATAGGCAGAAGGATCCATTAACTTGACAGGCTAATTGACTTGATCTAGTCTGGAGAGCAGAAAGATAAAAGAATGAAAAAAGGGTTCGAGACCCGCCTGGGCAACTTGACAAGACCTCATCTCTACAATAAATCAAAAAATTAGCTGGGCGTGGTAGTGCGCGCCTGTAGTTCCAGCTACTCAGAAGGCTGAGGTGGAAGGATCACCAGAGCCCAGCAGGTCGTGGCTGCGGTGGCCACAAGCGGCCACTGCACTCCAGTCTGGACAACTGAGTGAGACTCCAACTCAAAAAAAAAAAGAATGAAAAAAAAATAAACAGAGCCTAAGGGACCTGTGGGATACCATCAAGGCTAACAGTATACATATAATTGAGTCCCAGAAGGAGAGAAGAGAAAGAAAGGGGTAGAGAAAATATCTGAAGAAATAATAATCATGAACTCTCCAAATTTGAGGAAAGATATGAGTCTACACATCCAAAAAATTCAACCAAGTCCAAGTAGAATAAACAAACAAAAAAAAAGATCTACACAGAAACACAATATAATAAAACTGTCAAAAGCCAAAGGCAAAGAGAGAATTTTGAAAACCAAAAAGAAGTCAACACATAAAAGCAATTATCCATAGGATAAACTGCCCTTTAAAAATCAGAGTTCATAGAGGCCATAAGGCAATGAGATAACACATATAAAGTACTTAAATTTAAAAAAAACCTCGAGACGTCCTGTGCCAACAGTCGCTGCAGCTTCCTGCTTCAACAGTGCTTGGACGGAACCAGCACTCGTCTCTCTTCCCAGCCAACCGCTCAGAGCCAGCCCTCTGCCTCCGCCACCGCCTCGCTGCACCCTCCAGCACCCTCTGACTGCCTCAAGGCCACCGCAGCCCCCGCGCCACACCTCCGCCCCCGCCCATCCTCAGCTGCCGCCATGACGACCGCTGGTGCGCCAGAACTACCACCAGGACTCGGACACCGCCATCAGCCGCCAAATCAACCTGGAACTCTACACCTCCTACTCTACCTGTCCATGTCGTACTACTTTGACCGCGATGATGTGGCTTTGAAGAACTTTGCCAAATACTTTCTTCACCAATCTCATGAGGAGAGGGAGCATGTTGAGAAACTGATGAAGCTGCAAAACCAATGCGGTGGCCACATCTTCCTTCAGGACATCAAGAAACCAGACCGTGATGACTGGGAGAACGGGCTGAATGCCATGGATTGTGCATTACACTTGGAAAAAAACGTGAACCAGTCACTACTAGAACTGCACAAACTGGCTACTGACAAAAACGACCCCCACTTGTGTGACTTCATTGAGACACATTACCTGAATGAGCAGGTGAAATCCATCAAAGAATTGGGTGACTACATAACCAACTTGCGCAAGATGGGAGCCCCCAAATCTGGCATGGCAGAATATCTCTTTGACAAGCACACCCTGGGAGAGAGTGATGACAGCTAAACCTTGGGCTAATTTCCCAAGCTACTGGGTGACTTTCCTGGTCACCAAGGCAGTCCATGCATATCAGGGTTTCCTTTGCCTTTTCTATAGGTTGCACCAAAATGTTCACTTCAGTTCTTTGATTTGTACCATTCCTTCAAATAAAGAAATTTGGTACCCCCCCAAAAAAACCTCATCAACCCAAAATTCTATATCCAGAAAAATTCTTTTCAAAATGAAGAAAAGTTTCCCAGTTTCCAGTCCAGCAAGTAAAGAATTTAGAAGTTGTCACTCCAGGCCAGTCTCTTTGGCTCATGCCTGTAATCTCACTACTTTGGTAGGCCAAGGCAAGAGAATTGCTTGAGCCCAGGAGTTCAAGATTAGCCTGGGCAGTATAGTGAAACCCTGTCTCTACAAAAAAATTAGCTAGGTGTGGTGGCATGCACATGTAGTCCTAGCTACTTGGGAGCTGAGGTGGAAGGATCACCTGATATCAGAAGGCTGAGGTTGTGGTGAGCCAGGATTGCACTACTACTGCACTCCAGCCTTGGTGACAGAATGAGAGCTGTCTCAAAAAAACAAAGACAAAAACAAAGCAAAAAAAAAAGAAGAAAGAGGAAGAAGGGGAGAAGAAGAAGTAGTAGTTGTCGTTGCTTCATCCTAATAACAATTAAAAAGCTAAAGAAACTAAAAATCATCAATTCTTCTTAGATCCATCAGATAATTGAAGTCACAGGGCAAAACTCCACCCTAAAAATTGAAGGCACATCCAGAGAATTACAATTTGTTGAAGCAGAAATTTTCACATAGAAACCTCCGTGGGAACCAGCACCCATGGGTAGGAAAACTTAAAGTGTAACTGATGAATTGCTGGAGGTTTAATATGGACAAGTGTGAGAGTTAAAGATTCATAGAAAGCTCAGCTTGGGGTGGGGGAGGTAAACTACACTTTTATTAGTCTTACTTCAAGGAACTTTGCCAGGTTCTCACTAAGAAAATTGGAGAAAAGTTCCCTCATGTTTCCTGGAGGTGAAGAAAAAAGCAACCATTTAAAAATACACCCAGAGCATTTTATTCTTCATAACAAGTTTTGACTTCAAGAGAAAATATTTCACCAGAATCTAAGCTACTGGGGTTTTATAAGAGCCTAACTGACCTGGGGGAAGTGAAATACCCAACACCATACACTATACCCTTCTGGCCTTTCTGACCTACATACAAGGAGGAAAAACTGGAGAAGCATTTGAGAAGGTCACAGCACAGGTTCATTAAAAAACCATTATGGTACTGAGAGTCCTAACCAGAGCAATCAGGCAAGAGAAAGAAAGAAAGGATATCCAAAATGGAAAGGAAGAAATAAAACTATCCCTGTATGCTGATGATATGATCTTATACCTAGAAAATTTTAAGACTTCTGGAAAAGATTCCTGGACTTGAAAAATTAATTCAGTAAAGTCTTAGGACACAAAATAAAAACACACAAACCGGTAGGACTGCTGTATATCAATAGCAACAAAGCTGAGAATCAAGTCAATAACTCAATTCCATGTACAATAGTCACCAAAAAACTGTAATACCTAGGAATATATTTGACCAAGAAGACAAAAGATCTCTACAAGGAGAACTACAAAACACTAATGAAAGAAATCACAGAGAACACAAACAAATGGAAAAACATACCATGCTTGTGGACTGGAAGAATCAACATTATTAAAATGATCATATTACCCAAACCAATCAACAGATTCAACACAATCTCTATCAAACTGCCAATGTCATTTTTCACAGAATTAAAAAAGAAAGTCCCAAAATTCACATGGAACCACAAAAGAGCCAGAATAGCCAAAGCAATCCTAAGCAAAAAGAACAAAGCTGGAGGCATCACATTACCTGAATTCAAATTACACTATAAGGTTACGGTAACCAAAACAGCATGGTACTGGTACAAGGGCAGACATATGGACTGATGGAACAAAATAGAAAATTCAGAAATAAACCCAAATACCTACAACCAGTTGATCTTTGACAAAGCAGACAAAAACATACACCCTATTCAGCAAATGGTACTGGATGAAATTGGATACTTACATGCAGAAAAATGAAACTTGACTCCTATCTTTTACCATATACAAAAATTAACTCAAGATGGATTAAAGACTTAAATGTTAGACCTGAAACCACAAAAATCCTAGAAGAAAACTTATGAGGCCGGGCTCGGTGGCTCAGCCTGCAATCCCAGCACTTTGGGAGGCCGAGGCAAGTGGATTGCCTGAGTTCGTGGGTTCAAGACCAGCCTGGGCAACTTGGTAAGACCTTTTCTCTACAATAAATTTCTTTAAAAAATTAGCCAGGTGTGGTAGCACTTGTCTGTAGTTCCAGCTACTTGGAAGGCTAAGGCAGAAGGATCGTTGGAGTCCAGCAGGTCAATGCTAGGGTGGCCATGAGCACACCACTGCATTCCAGCCTGGGCAATGGAGTGAGACTCCAACTTAAAAAAAAATGAAAAATGAAAAACTCTTCTGGACATTGGCCTAAGCAAAGAATTTATGGCTAAAACCCCAAAAGAAAATGCAACAAAAACAAAAATAAACAAGTGGGACTTCATTAAACTAAAAATCTTCTGCACAGCAAAATAATCAATCAAAGAGTAAATAAGCAACCTATAGCATGGGAGAAAATCGTCACAAGCTATACATCCAACAAAGGACTAATATCCAGAATTTACAAAGAACTCAAATAAATCAGCAAGAAAAAAGCAAATAAGCCCATTAAAAAGTGGGCAAAACAGCCGGGCTTGGTGGCTCACTTCTATAATCCCAGCACTTTGGGAGGCTGAGGTGAGAGGATTGCCTGAGCCCATGGGTTCAAGACCAGCATGGGCAACTTAGTGAGACCTCATCTCTACAATAAATAAAAAAAATTAGCCAGGCATGGTGGCACGTGCCTGTAGTTCCAGCTACTTGGAAGGCTAAGGTGGAAGGATCGCCTGAGCCCAGTAGGTCAAGGCTGCGGTGGCTGCCAGTGTGCTATTGCACTCCAGCCTGGGTGACAGAGTGAGACTCCAACTCAAAAAAAAAAGTGGGCAGATGACATGGACAGGCACTTCTCAAAAGAAAATATACAGTCAGGCGTGGTGACTTTGGGAGGCCGAGATGAGTGGATTGCCTGAGTCCAGGGGTTCAAGACCAGCCTGGGCAACTTGGTGAGACCTAGTCTCTACAATAAATCAAAAAATTAGCTGGGTGTGGTGGCGTGCACCTGTAGTTCCAGTTACTTGGAAGGCTGAGGTGAAAGGATCACCTGAGTCCAGCAGGTCCAGGCTGCAGTGGCCATGAGTATGCCACTGCACTCCAGCCTAGGTGACAGAGTGAGACTCCAACTCAAACAAACAAACAAAAAAAGAAAATATGCAAATGGCCAACAAACATGAGAAAATGCTCATCATAACTCATCATCAGGGAAATGCAAATTAAAACCACAATGAGATACCACCTTATCCCAGTCAGAATGGCCATTATTAAAAAGTTAAAAAAAACAATAGATGTTGGTGTGGATGAAGTGAAAAGGGAACTCTTCTACACTGTTGATGGGAATGTAAATTAGTACAACCTCTATGAAAACCAGTATTGAAATTTCTCAAAGACCTAAAAGTAGATCTACCATTTGATACAGCAATCCCACTACTTGATATCTACCAAAAGGAACCGAGGTCATTATATGAAAGAAACAACTACACTCATATGTTTATTGCAGCACAATTCACAATTGCAAAGATGTGGAACCAACATAAATGTCCATCAACTGATCAGTGGATAATAAGAATGCTATACATTATATATTATATATGCATACCATGGAATACTATCCAGGTATAAAAGGAATGAAATATGTCTTTTGCAGCAACTTGAATGGAACTGGAGACCATCATCCTAAGTGAAGTGAAACAGGAATGGAAAATCAAATACCACATGTTCTCACTTATAAGTAGGAGCTAAAATAATAAATAAATAATAAAATAAAATAGTTCCATAAAAAAGTAAGTAGGAGCTAAATTAACGGACTGCAAAGGCATATAGAATGGTGTAATGGACATTGGAGACTCAGAATGGGAAGGATGGGAAGGAGGTAGTGATGGAAAATCACCTATAGGGTACAATGTGCACAAGTGAGGATGGTGGGTACACTTAAAGCCCAGACTTCTTTGCCACTGTACAATGCATCTATGTAACCAAAAACCATTTGTAACCCTCTAAAGATATTAAAATATATATGTATATATACACACAATAATTTGCTAAGAGCTCTAAGGTTGGGCGTGGTGGCTCACGCCTGTAATTCTAGCACTTTGGGAAGCTAAGGTGGGAGAATCTCATTAGCTCAGGAGTTAGAGATCAGTGTGAGCAATATAGCAACACCTTGTCTTTACAAAAATAAAAATAAAAAATTAGCTGGGCATGGTGGCACATCCTGTAGTCCCAGCTACTCGGGAGGCTGGGACAAAAGGATCACCAAAGCTCGGGGGGTCAAGGCTATGGTGACCTGGGATTGCACCATTGCACTCCAGCCAGGGCAACAGAGTAAGGCCCTGTCTAAAAATGATAATAGTGGCTCTAATGGAAAAAGAAAACATGGAAAAAGCACATGGGTAATGAACGCAAAGATGAAAATTTAGGGAAAAATTAAAAAGAATTGCTAGAGACAAAAAATACTGTAATAGAAATGAGTGATGCATTTGATGTGCTCAGTAGTTGTCTAGACAAGACAAGACTGAGGAGGGAGTCATTGAGCTTAAGGATATGTCAATAGAAATTTCTCAAACTGAAAAACAAAAAGAAAGTTATAATGAGGGAGAGAGGCAAGATGGTGATGGAACAGGTCAGAGTACGAGAATCTCCGCAAAAGCAAATGTCCATAAAGACTGCGTGGGTGGGTGTGTGCCGGTGGGTGACTGAAAGTCCATCTGAGGGAAGACTCGGGTTCATGCACCTGGGACTTTCCTCTGGAGAAGACTGTAACCCACCAATGCCCTGAGATTGGAGCCCCGGGCATGCAGGATCATCTGCCATTCTCGGGGCTCTCGTGAGAGGAGACAGCAGAGAACAGCTGCTTCTCACCACCTGGCACCTTACCTACATCATCACCTGTGGCAGCAGACTAGGCACCAGCAACAGGAACTGTGG